CGATACATTAGACATCCTGTTCTCAGAGCAGGGTTCAAGTCGGCTATCCTTCATGCGTGCTTTGTTGCTATTGAAGGTGTCGTATTACGGTGTCATGTACAATAATCAAGAAAATAGGGTAAAGCTGCTTATTTTATTTCTGATTTTACAACTTTTTTTTTTTTAATTATACTTTGATGATTTGTCTACTGGCTGAAGAATAAAATATACTGTTAGGGTAGAGGTAATAACAGATGAAATATAAAGTCTTACTATAAAAAAAGTTTCATATTTACTGAAGAGGTTTTAGCGATAACGAAAATGAAGATTGAGATTTTTGAGACAAAGAGAAGTATTTTTAATCTTTACATAAAAATCCCTTTGCTCTTGGGGGTAGTAAAAACAATATTCGATTCATTCACAGACAAATTGTTAGTAAAAATACTTCATTAAAAAACTGTTCTTTTTTTGTACAAATGACATGTGATGTTTACTAAAAGTACACATATTATATTAAAAGTTATAATATTAAAACTATATACAAGTAAAAATGGTCACGTGGTTGGTCCCTGGGATTGAGCCCGTGTTAACAGAGTTAAGACACTTATGCTACCAATGACTGTCAACTGATTAATCATGTCAAACACTGTGGAAGGACATTAACAGCTGGGTGTTGAAAGCAGGTAACAGAAAGCACCCATACTTTGACCGCTACCTCTTCCTACTCTGACTATCACACATTGTATACCACGTTTTAAGTATATACATATTGAGTTCTTAAAGTTTATACAAAACTTTCTGTGAGGTAATAATGAATCCTATAATATGTTATAAATAAATTGTGTGAAAGTTTGGATTTTTGTGTTATCTATCGTGGCATCCACGCCACATTTTTTAAGTTCATAACCCGGACAAAGGATGAGTACCTCGGCTTGTATGTATATAAAGTACAGTGTCTGTTAATGAATGATAATTCTATAAAGAATTAGTAAACATTATCAAGAAGTGCATATAAGTCAAATGTTTATTAGAAACAAGACCTTCATCCCATGTAGTACAGGACAGTGCTACGTATCTGCTCTTAGTTGATCCATCATTTTTCTTCAGTGTTCTCAGGCCTAGTAAGGAAGGGGTAATTTTGGTGCTGTGACCAAGAATATTGGTATTACACAGTTATTAAATTATTTTTGAGAAAGTTCAGCAGCCAGCCTTTCTGAATGCTCCCAGGGAAGTACAATCGTACAAGCATATGGGGAAATTGCATACTCTACAGGGAAAGGAGATTATGACATGGTTTGAGGATGAATATGGTGATGGAGCAAGACTTGTAAAAAAGAGCGATCAGATCAGGCAGACATCTTCTCCTAGGTCACAAAACCATTACCCTACTGCCAGGAACTCGGGGAAAGGAACAGGGAGTATCTGGGGCATCCAGAAGCCAAGTGCAACCAAAGAATGTCAGGGTGATTCACACTGAAATGGGGCAGTCTCTACAGTATCCTTAGGTACTCAGTAACAAGGAGAAGTGCAACTCCAGCTCTGGTTGAGGCCACCTACAAGGCAGGAGGTACTGATAGTGAATGAGTTCCACCAGCATGAGCATGTCAGCAGTCGAGATGACAGGTATTAGTGGGGAGCCATGGTCTCACCTGCTGGCAGGATAGCGTGTGTTTGCAGCTTTACTAACCAATGATGGTAGCTGTCCCACCTACTAATGAGACTGCTTTCTTTGGTAGCTTACACCAATCGACAGAGTAGCTGTTCCATCTGCAAGCAAGACAGCTCCTGTACTGATTGTTAGTCGTATCCTTCATTAATACCTCTCGTATCCATCACTAATACCTGTCGTCTCGACTGCTGACATGCTCATGCTGGTGGAACTCATTCACTATCAGAACCTCCTGCCTTGTAGGTGGCCTCAACCAGAGCTGGAGTTGCACTTCTCCTTGTTACTGAGTACCTTGTTAATCGTATCCATGATACAAAAAATGGATCTCTTGAAACATTCTAATCTAAAATGTAATTATACCTTCCAAGTTCTTGAAGTTGAAAAGCCATGAATCACTTGAATAACAAATTACCTACCAAACAAGTAATGTCAATACTGCTTGAAAAAGTACTTATTTATCTTGCAAAACCAGCAATCCAGAGTGGTCAACGTGACTTGTCTATAAAATTAGACATAATATGCATTCCTGTATCCATAGTTGTAATCTAACTATCACTGGCATCTCTATCCAGGATTAATGAACAATTTTACGTTGGATAAACCTATGTCAGAACATTTAAAAAACTGAAATGCTTGTTCATTCTTCAGTCCAAGAAGTTGATCATCAAATGTTGATAGTACAATATGGTCCACGAAAACTTTGGACATTTTTGTTTAGTCAGAAAAAGGTGAGATCAGTTCTTAACTTGTGCATCTCTGACACAATTATTACCAATAACACACACACATCTTCCTTACATCAGTAGTAGTTTGAAATGTGCAAACAAACATTAGTATGCGAGTCATAAAGAAGAAACATCTTTCTCATTACAAGCCACATGATGCAAGTTGGATAAGCCTCTTAAACATAGATGATGCATTATACAGGAAGTAATGATATAGAGCTTAACTTGAGTGCTGAAAGTAGTCTTTGTTCTGCTTACCAGTAACAAGATGTCAGATTGTTTTATAAATAGTGTTTCACCCGTGTCTACGAAAAGATGGTTTATCTTATCCAGGTGATCGTGTAATTTGCATGACACACTGGGTAATTTTGCCAACTGTTTATTAAGTTTCTCTCAGAATACCCAACAAAACATATATGGTGCTGAAGCAAGCCCAAAATGTAATACATGAGACAACCACTTTGTGGACAAACCAAAAATAGCATCAGGACTGATGAGAAAAGGGAATATGGAAGTGTGTGTATCCAAGATGTCCACTTTATTCATCCACAGACTTGGAGATAAATCTCACCAAAGTGTGAGAAAAGATTCCATGAAAAATTGGGGAAGATCCAGAAATTGATTGAAGAGGGTCAGAGCAATCACAGGATGCCAGTCTCCAGTTTTCTTGGGATGACAAAAAGCCTGGCTGACAGGCTCGATAGAAGAGTCTGAACAGACTTTGATAGATGTTGACTGGTAGCATGATCCCAAGGTAATGGGAAGGATATTAGAACCAGAGACAAAGGAGGTGGAGAGAGAGGACACAAAGAAAAAGTCTGTCTGACAAACCCTTGATCACTGAAGCGTCAGGAGTGAACTCCCACCATAAGTGAACAAATTGGACAAATGTACCCCTACTGGGCCAAATGCCACTGGATAGGCAGTGAAGAGTATAATTGCAAGTCAAACAAAAGACCGATGGACCCTTAGAGTAAGAAACAGGCAAAGGCCTTTAGGGTGAAGGACAGGAAACACATATAGACTAAGGTATGGGTGCAGGCTGAGAGAAATGAGCAACTAAAGAAGATACAGTTGAGTGTTGCTTTGCAGATTTCACAGTTGACTCCAAAGATTCAGGAATATCTCCAAAAAGAGACATCAAAAAGGTCACAAAAATATATGTAAATGAGAGATGTAAGGGATAAACATACAGGATCCACCCACTACACAAGGAAAAAATAGGGAAGACAAGGTAATCGGATGATGGGGCAGCATGTAAATTTTCAGGGACAGAATCATATCAAACAAGGGATACAGAAAAACGTAACAAACCTGAGAAAACATGTCTATAAAGGCTAAGGTAGGCCTAGTAGATTCCACAGGAGAGGTACAAGCATTGAAAAAAGGCTGTCAAAATCCTCTTAATCAGGCACTATAGGGATAGAAGGATCCCATACACTGTCAGGAAAAGAAGGATGAAACAAATGAAACTCAACTCACTGCAAATGATGGCTGAAGAATCCCAACCCAAGACTCCCACATCTGAATCCTGTGTCATAACATTCAAAGTAGTGCTAACTGTAGCTAAGGTCGTGACACGAAATTCTGAGTTCATAACTGACTGTGAGAAAATGCAAGAAAAACAAAGAAAAGTAAGTGACGAAACTGTAGAAAAAATTACTAAAAACATGAAAGCACTAATTTAAAAATACATAAAAAATTTGTGATAAATGAAACGTCTGCACAAGACCACTGCCTAACGAGAAGTGATGATTAGATAGAATCGAACAGAGGGAGTCATATGCATCAAGAGGGTGGGTCACACTCCTATTGATGGAGGAATGTTGCATGATGATTTACATTGTGAAGATGAAGATGCAGTGAACCACATTGATCATGGAGTAGGTGGGAGTTTAAAGGCTTTTGGCATGGAAAAAAAAATGTATATAGAGGGTACCACTGAATGAGAATAGCTATTATGTGAGAGGAGGTAAGGTACTGTATCAAAAACAGACCTTCTTATGGCTCCCTTAAATATGGTAGAAAATTAGCAACGACAATGTAGTACATAATAATAGTTGGAGACGGCTTGAATGGGTAATGAAGAAAACTTTGATATAAGGTTTATTATAACAGAAAATGTACAATGTTTCAACAACGTTTTGGTACCTGATGATGACAAGACCTTGTCGAAACGTTGTACATTTGCTGTTATGTTAAACTTATATTAAAGTTTTTCTTCATTACCCATTATACTGCTGAAATCATGTACACAATACATACCAGGATGCTGCTGAAATCATGTACACAATACATATTGGGATACTACCAAGATAAAGCACATAATACATAACAGTATACTCTTGAAAATCAAGTATACAATACATTATATTTTGAAGCTTTACATATCAGGATACTGTTGAAATCATGTACACAATACATCATGTCTTGAGGCTACCATGCTATTAGAAGCATCTTTTATGAAAAAAGAAGTAAAAGTGTTCTTGGCATACAAAGTAATAAGTTGTGGTTGTAAGTGGTTGGTGCTGTCAAACACAAGGTTTAGCTTTTTAAACTCAGTACCACTAACTATTCTAAGTTTCTTTTTAAAAAAAATGTTTTACTTTACAATTAGCCTAAAATCTACTTTATAAAAATAAGCATATACACATTAACTATTCCTTAAGTGATTTATTTTGTTTGAAAAAAATACATTAATAAAGAAGCATTTTCAAGATACATAAGAAAAACAGTATTAAAGTACCCTTCCTATCACAAATAATTTTCACAATGACGATTATATTGTCCAGTCTTTATTAATTTTTACGATTTATCAATAAACCAGTCTATTTCAGTTTTAGACCTCCAAATTCTAAGATATTTACAGCTATGGAATTTGTTATTTAAATTTTCCAAGATATTTAGAAACTAATATAAAATTGATCTTTCACGAAATGAAACTGTAGTTCTAGTATGAGATTCCTCTCTAGTTACCTGTTGTAAAATCAACAGCAGTGATATAACCCTCCTCCCCATTCATTGTTATCTACTTCTATATGATAGCAATGAGGTGAGTACAGTGTTTACACACACACACAGTATTACTGTTATTTAGGGATAGTAATTGTAAATAATGCAACTTATAGAGATCCCTCCCTAGTTACCTGTTGTAAAATCAACAGCAGTGATATAACCCTCCTCCCCATTCATTGTTATCTACTTCTATATGATAGCAATGAGGTGAGTACAATGTTTACACACACACACAATATTACTGTTATTTAGGGATAGTAATTGTAAATAATGCAACTTATATTACAACTGCACTCTCTTAAAGTCCAATAATCTTGCAATTTGTGTAGAAAACTTATTTATCTCAGCATTTTTTAATGGTTTCATCATTTCTCTGGTATTTAAAATTCATCTGGCATAAAAAAATATTGAAAGTACAATATTTGTAGTAAGGTTTTTTTTAATTTTGAAGAGACTCAAACATTTTTATATTTATTCATATTTCTTTGGGCAAGAATTTGAACACCCTTTCAATTATTTTGATTACACTCACTGCATATTTTTCAATGGCCATAAATTATTCTTAAAATGTTACACCACAAATGCATAAGGAGGAATATCCAATAATAAGAATGCTCAATGCTAAACAGTGATAGACTGTCACTATTGTGAAAAACTGAGTGAATAAAATTTACACGATCTTAAATGATAAAAAAAAATAGTGCATTTTTAAGATAAAAAAAAGAAGGTAAAATGATTACATACATTTCCATATTAGTTTACCCAGAAAAAGATACGAGGTAAAAACTTACGTGCAGCAAGACTTTGGGAAGCCGTAATAATTGAGAGGAGATGGATAACACTCTCTTTCTATGGAAGCCTGAAAAAAATTTTCACAATGATTTATAATGTAAATGATTAAATAGATCAGTCAAAAAAGCTAGCAACTAAAGAGCAGTATGGACACAAAGTTTTCCATTTTAAGTTCAAATACTGTATATTTTTAAAACAATCATGAACTCCACTATAAAGGAGTATGGATGGTGTGTGTAAGACTTCTAGCTGACACATCTCTTTTGTGTCATAGCTTCACACCTGTCAGTGTCATAGCCAACTATTAGCCGAGGTAAATGCCTCAGTTAAAATCACACTAACAGGAAATTTACTATTTTCAAACTTACATTTCTGCATAGCTCTGATGAGCCTCACCTGTCAACAATACAAACACACACGTTTTTTTAACATCTTTAAAAAAAACACTAATATGGCTGTCCAAACTTTCTAACTGGCTAGCTATCAATATGATTTTTGATTGATTTGTTTGTTTTGAACAATTTACATTGGAATATCTGCTGTGTCCATCACAGGAAATCAAACCCCAGATTTTAGCATTGTAAGTCCATAAATTTACCACTGTCCCACTGTGGGGACTTTTTGATTGGACAATATCTTAATTAATGTTATGGAATTAGTTTAAGTTGCAGAAGTATAAATGCTTAAATAACTATGATCTTAAGGTGTCATTGTTTCATTTCACCCCCATATCAAAATTACTGGATTGGGTTATACTAAACCTGCAAAATTAGAAAAAAATGTATACTATACCACAAGTTGAGAAATATATCAATTTATTTCTGATTATCTAAATCAATAATGAATTTGTTTGTTTGTTTGTTATTTTGTATCAAATTATATAATGAGCTATCTGTGCTGTGCCCACTGCGAGCATTGAAACCTGATTCTTAGCATATAAGCCCTGAGACTTACAACTGAGTCACCAGAGGGCCCATCAGTAATGAACTCTACATATTTCTATACACCAAGTAACCACTAAAGAAAACAACAAAAGCAGAAATAATTTATCATATTTTGATTACTATCTACTTCAGACACCAGGATACAAATATGCATGAAAACCACATAGTTCAATTAATCAATATACATACTGTTTACAATTCTTATAATTACAAGCATTATTATAAAATAGTTAATATACTATTTTAGAAATTCAAAATGTTATAAACTAATAAATGTTTCTGAATAAAAAAAAAATAAACAACTCTTATGGTGATTCAAATAAAATCTATAGAGCAAATTACCTCATGAACAAGTCGATCAATTTCGTCTGTAGTAACCCCAACGCCTGCTGCATCTGCGGCAACATCCAAAACTTCACGAGCAAGCTGAAAGAGTACATATAGTGTGTGTAAGGTTTCTAGTTTTAACACAATCCTTTAGTGTCACAATTGCACACCTGTCAGTACCACAATAAAATATGAGGTACCCGAGGTGTGTGCTTTGGTTAAAATCACACTAGTGGTAACTGTCTCTCTTAATATCAAATAAAGCTATACGTCACTTTTCCACAAAATAAAATATATTTCATCCTTCGTTGCATATGTTAGTTAAGTCTCAAGTCCTGCCCTTAGCAATCAAGTACCTCACTGATTTCTATAGCCACATTTAACATATTTATATTAGTTAGTAAAGTCCACATTTAAGAAATTAACTACGTTTTGAATAAAATCAATTTAAGAACAACTGAGGAGTATATATGTATACCAGATTATCCTGCATTATATCTTTCTTTGAAAATAGTGTTATAAGTTACCCAAACAATACCAAAGTAAAATCAAACGAACAGTAATTTTAAAATGTACCTCAAAACAATTTAGTGACATTTAATGTCATCTTACCGCTGTTGCAGAATGGTATTTCTAAAATGTATTATATCTTTCCTTGAAAATAGTGTTATAAGTTACCCAAACAATACCAAAGTAAAATCAAACGAACAGTAATTTTAAAATGTATTATATCTTTCTTTGAAAATAGTGTTATAAGTTACCCAAACAATACCAAAGTAAAATCAAACGAACAGTCATTTTAAAATGTACCTCAAAACAAGTTAGTGATATTTAATGTCATCTTACCTCTGTTGCAGAATGGTATTTCTAAAATGAGAGCATGATTTTTCATATTCAGAGTTAACAGGTCTACAGAAGTTTTAAACCTGAATCTAAACCTGTATTGTGTACCAATAATCACGTCAGCTTATTCAACAGTTATTTTTGCAATAAAACTATATTTGTTGTCTTTGTATTGTTCTAATAATAAATAATCATTATCTTGTCTCTTCATAAAAACTTTTAACTACAAAGAAAGTATTAAAAACTACAAAAGTAAAAAAAAACTGAAATTCTAAAAACATTATTGATCAGAAAGATTCATTTTATAGATTTAAGTAGGTACAATTTGTTTGAGTTTCATCATTTATTTATACTTGTTATTTATCTTTACCTACTCAAGCAGTTATGTAGTCACAAAAAAGCATAAAACACTGTCAAACAGAAAAAACATACATGGATAGAAATAAAATTGTACTTAAATCCCAGGCTTAAACTGACAGAGTCAACATTTTCTAACTATGTTCTTGGTCAAGCTCAATTTTTCTTTAATAATTCTAGATTGTTTTCAATAAGTAAGAAGTTATTCTACACATACATGTTTGAGTAATAACAACTTTACTAATACACAGAAATAAATAAAAAAAGCTTTTCTTTCATCACAATAGGTTGCTATGGCATCATTCCTAAATATCAATACCTTATGTCTTCTCATATAAGAATATTCCTTTAGTTTTAAAACAAACATATCATAATAAAGCTTATCATGAATGAAAACTAGATCATAAGAAACTATCAATGAAAAACCATGTTTGTGGCTTGTTTTTAAATTAGTAAACTTTGCATTTGAATCCTTTGTTCTCCACTATGAGAACTTCCATTATTCACTTTTTCAGTGTTGAAGTTAAACAAGAATATTTTCTGTCCAATCATTTTCAGCCATTGGTTCTATCTTTTTTGGAGGCTAAGAGTTATTAGTTACTGTCCAGTTCATTTTCTGTTACATAAAAAAAAAGCCTCTCGATATAGAATTATTGAAATAGTCATTAAGAGAAAACGAAGGTCAAATAAGAAACAAAACCTAGGATAAGTCTATTCTTAAGGATTGCCAGGAGTCTTGGTAAATATAATCTGATATACTGGGATGTGCAGAAAAATGATAAAAGAAGTGTTTAAGGGCTCTGTTTACATGCGGTACCTGTTGTAATTGTGCAAAGTTCAAAGAGTTTTTGCATGTGTCTTTGCAAATTACACTAAATAAGTTTTGTAAAATTACAAGATATCAAATCTTAGATATCTTAGAGTAAAAAATTTCTTGAAATAAAAATAGAATTACCATTTTTACTTTAATTATTAAATCTGTTATGCAAGAATGTCCTTGACACCAGAAAGCTGCCCACTGGCCATAATAAGTTTAATACGTTTATCCTACATTTCATACAATTTGGTTATGCTTCTCCACTGTCATAAGAAGAAAAAAAAATCAAGGTATATTAGTGATAACCCATTGGGATAGGGTTAGTTGGATCATCCACATCCAATACATATGAATTTTTATTTTCTGTCTGCTTTTCCTTTTCAGAACTATCTTTGTGATGAGAAGCTGTGGTTTCTTTAATTTCTGACACAGAGTAGCAGGAATAATGGCTGGAGATGGCTTGCCTGGTATGTATTGTGTACATGATTTCAAAAGTGTCCTGGTATGTATTGTATACATAATTTCAACAGTATCACAATACGTATTGTGTACATGATTTCAGCAGTATCCCAATACGTATTGTGTATATTCAACAATATTCCATTATGTATTGTTTACATGATTTCAACAATATTCTGGTATTCATGGTATATGCATTCTGGTATATTATTTGAACAGTATCCCAATATATATTGTGAGCTTTGTCTCAGTAGTATCCCAATATGTATTGTGTACATGATTTCAAGACAGTCCTGGTATGTATTGTATGCATGATTTCAACAATATCCCATTATGTATTATGTACATGATTTCAAGATGGTCCTGGTGTGTATTGTATACATGATTTCAACAATATTCCATTATGTATTATGTACATGATTTCAGCAGTATCGTAGTATGTATTGTGTACATGATTTCAAGAGTGTCCTGGTATGTATTGTGTTTTATCTCAGTAATATTCCAATATGTATTGTGTACATGATTTTAACAGTATGCTGGTATGCATTGTCTACATGATTTCAGCAGTGTTCTGGTATGTATTGTATACCTAATTTCAACATTATCTCAATATGTATTGTTTTTATAATTTGAACAGTACCCCAATATCTATTGTGTACATGATTTCAACAGTGTCCTGATATGTATTGTGCTGCATGATTTCAACAGTGTCCTAATATGTATTGTGTACATGATTTCAACAGTATCCTGATATGTATTGTGTACATGATTTCAAGAGTGTCCTGGTATGTATTGTGTACATGATTTCAACAGTGTCCTGATATGTATTGTGTACATGATTTCAGCAGTATCCTGATATGTATTGTGTACATGATTTCAACAGTGTC